GGAAAGTTAGGCATTCTTGTCAAGTTAAGAGTGACATTTGCAAATTTTAGGGATAAGGATTGAGTATGTTTGGAAGATTATTATTCTCTGCCTACCTCCCCATATTCCCGACACTTCTTAAAAGACCCCACAAACCAGAATCCATCCTATTTACTCTCCCCTCTAGCTAGTGCTTAAAGATCATACAATGATATTGTCAGCTTCTTTGGGTTTTCTGCTCTTAGATAGTAATCTCATATCAATTGTATCTTCAGCTTTTTCTTTTTTTTTCTCAAAAGCACAGTATCTTTCCATTCAGGACTTAAGGTGTTTTCACAAGGTAGGACAAGGCCAGTAACATTGTGTGACTAAGAAGGACACCCTTCAGCTCCAAACCAGGAAAAGGGCAAGTGGACCCTCAGGCAGCTTAATTAACAAATGCGAGGGTAGAGCCAGGAACACTCTCGGTCCTCCCCTGCACCCTATCCCAATATATTTGACTGTGCCCTAGGGTATGCCTGAAACCATTTTGAAAGCCTGTAAAAATAAATTCAAATTTTCTCCTCTTATCCCACAAAGCCTTCCATGCTATAACGCAAGCTCATCCCCCATTTTCCTCTCATATCCACTGGTGCCCCATTTCCCACACCAGCTTGAGACACTGAATCACACACACTGCTTCTAAGCTTGTTTTCAGGGGGAACGTGTGTCAAAAAGACTTCCTCTCTTGAAGACACTCTGCCCCTCAGCCTGCTGCTATTTTAGACCCAAGGGATGAGTCACTGAAATTCATACCAGCACCCTGCCCTGGCTCAGGCTGGTCACAGAGTCTCTGCTTGCCGTGTGACACAAATTAGCAGCAGTGTTTTAAGCAGCCATGACACCTTTAAGAAACAGGCTGTACAACAAATCACCTAGCCATATGTTTTATCCCTAGGAACGCTTCAGCAGAGACAGCATTCCATATGAAGGGATGAAGATGACATCATTTAGCTCTCCGATTCCCTGCTATTTTTTCCCCTAAACCTTTCCCCAGTTCTCCATTTCACACCCAGGAGACAGGATTAGTCACTCTCTCGACAGCAGGTTGCCTTTACATTTACCTGAGATGCTTCCTGTTCTGCTCCGTGTCACAATGGTGTATAAGAAAGTCTGGTTTGAAGTCTCCGAGGGGTCACACATCCATCGTCTCCATCCTCATTGGGTTTCTTACTTGGTCCCAAGGTCCTGACAGGGGCTCTTTGAACCTTGACCCCTGAGGACTGATTTTCCTTGGTATTACAATTTGAATGTGAAATGTCGCCCACACTTTCAAAGGTGTGAACACTTGTTCCCCAGCTGGGAATTGACCTTAAGTGGGATTTACCTGGAGGAAGAGGGTCACTGGTTTGGGGGAGGGGGCGGTGGAGTCCCATGAGGTTTCTTTGCTGGGCCCCATTTGCTGTCCATTCTCTACTTCTTTATTGTGGATGCAGGGTAAGAAGGCACTACATGTTCATGGCCCTACAGCTTCCCAGGCATGAAGAGTTGTGAGCCAAAGAAAACCCTTCCTCCTTAACATGCTTCTTGTTGGTATTTGATCGAAGCAAGGAGAACAGTAATTACTGCACTCTGTTGCCCTCGTTGACAACCCTATTACCCTTTATTCATCTCGATGGTCCTTAAACTTTGCATAGTGTAGTACCAGGGCTCACAGGCCAAAAAGTATAATGGTTCTAATATCAAAAAGTATCTCAATAACAATTCCTTCATGTTACAGTTTCCATTATTTTCCTTAGATGTTTGCTACTTGACCATTAGTGATGGCCAGGAAGAGACTAAAGAAGATGACTATTAAGGGAAAACACAGGTGTTATCTACATTTAATTAAGGGACTTGAGTCTATGTTCATGTATTGGAATTTTATATACTACATGAAATAGCATAATTGATGCTGCTTCATCCAACATAATAAACAATGCCCACATCCACGTCCTTTTGATGTATCTTTACACAAACAGATAACATACATATATGCATTATTAACATAAATTTGTTGTATTTTTCTAAACTTATAATATGTAAAAATGTCCTACTGGAAAAACTCAGAGAACGAAGGAGGAAATGGAAAATAATTTAACTATTTTGAAGCCCAACTTGGCAGTTTCTCGTGCACCTGAATACAAGACCAAGCCATTCCATTCTTGGATATTTACCCAAGAGAAATAAAAACAAACCCAGGTAGAAATAAAATGCTTACGAGGACTTTGATCCTGACTGCCTGAAATTGGGAACATACATGTCTATACATAGGTAAACAAACTCACATCTGTGCCCAAGTGAGTACTACTCAGAAATTTTATTTAAAAGGCAACATATTACCAAAAACATATGAAAAACTGCAGAACCACAATGCCTAAAGCAGAAAGCCAGACAAAAAGAATATATGATTCTATTTAGCAAAAGCAAAACAAAATCTATAGCAACTATCAGCCAATCAGTGCCGGACGAGTAATGATTTGAGAGTGCTACGCAGTGAAGAGAGCTCAAACAAGGTTCCAGGAGCAAAAGAATGTCTTCCTATTGTTACTGTGGCCATGGTGACACTGGTGAACACACGAAAGGTCAAATGAACGCTGACAACAGATGCACACTGTTGCATGCAAATTACCATTCCATCATGCTAATACTTTTTTAAATGGACTAGTGAACTTTTCACCAGATGTGGAGACAATGTTAGGAACGATCTGGTTTGATAGGAATACAGGCTTAATGATATTTATCAAATTCAGTTTGAATGATAAGGTGGGGGAAGGAAGAGAATCCTCATCTGGAGTTTATTTCATAGGTTTTAGAATGCTGATAGATCAATACTTATGGCAATTGCTATAATCCAATGCCTGTGACACGGGCCTACCCGGGGTGCCTATGACATGGTGGGCTGTGCAGAGTGACGCCTTGGTACTCTCTGGGCTGGAAGCACTGAGTGAGCTATTCGGCTTAGAGGCACTAGCTCACACTGATACAGATTCAGATTACCATTTCTTCCACAAAATATGAAGATGACTTGGAGCAACTTATTGGATCGGGAATCTTTGAGAGCACCGTTTTTTGTAACTACAAGTATTTGGAGAACACAGCTTGCTGGAAGTCACAGGAGGCTGTGAGGGATAGCTGGTACATCACATGACCTAGAGAAGGAGACCTGGATGCGGCAGACCTCCCTGGCTCCTCATGTGCCTATACAGCCCCTCAGTGCTCCTGAAGCCCGACTCTACTTCACCTCCTGTGGAGTTGTCTCAAGCAGAGATTTCAGGACCCTCTCCCCAGTGCCTCTGCCCGACAGGATAATACGCCCTTATACCAACTTCCCAAGTGCACCTCTCACAGCTAGTTCCAGAACCACACACGGAAAGCCCAACTGGATATCCTGGTCTCCTGTACCAATGTCCCAGATGTAGAATGGTCATACCCATTAAGTAAGTAAAAAGAAGTCTCATTAATTTCTTCCACCAACTATACTTTGTTTCAGTAATAGTAAAGCAGTCAAAAGAAAGTTTAAAGTTTCTCAGAAAGCAAGCCATGACTTCTTCCGGTTCCTTCAGTATTAGTGAGTTTATTTCAATTCTTAGGATACTATGCAAACTCTATATTTCTGACATCATTTTGTTGTTCTTTACGAGCAAAAATGAATCATACTGTGCTCTGCTGCTAAAGGACAGAGTCGTGGTTCGAACTATATTTCACTTTCCATTGTCAAAGGACAAAGCCAAACCCAAGAGAATCCTGAGGGGAAAGCAGAAGGCAAAAGACGCGACTTCACTGAATAACAAGAAAGAATTTCACAGTTGAGAAGAGAGGCAGGAAGTCATCTGAGGAAGGGAACGAGCATGCAGAGACATCAACCAAGAACCAAGAGGAGGAAGAAAAGCATGTGGATAAAAGTTTGCCTCAGATTGAAGCAAAAGCCAATGAGTACACAGTCAAGTGAGCCTGAAACGTGAAACGCTGTCAAGTAAATGGAAGAGCGGGTGGGAAGAGGGGTTATCAAGCTAAAAAAGACGGCCTATTTATTGTTTTACTTTGTTAACAGAGAATTTAACAAAAGATACAGCAATATGTGATGATCTGTGAAGGGGGAGAAATCCCATTTAATATAATTCTTGTCTTGTCTGCTGGGTGAACAACCAACTCAAATGGAACTAAGATTACAACCTGAAGGGGTCAGATTTTTCTCCACAGGTGAAAATAAGAGGGGATGGGGGGTGGGAGTGAAATTATAACCCTCTGCCCAAACCTGCCAACAACAACCACACCCAAATTCATGGAACGAATGAATATGTTATCTTACAGCCGAAGAGGACTCTTCACACATGATTAAATGATGGCTTTTAAGATACGGGAGTAATCCGACATTTTCTAGGTGAGCCACCGTGACCACAGAGGTCCTGGAAAAGAAAGAAATGAAAGGGAAGACAGGCGATGTGAGGCTTCAGTGCAGTGAGCGAGAGATGTGAAGGCAGGGGACGCAGGCATGACGCCCCCAGAGAGCTGCTTCTCGCTGCAGAGAAGACGCAGTCATGCAGGCCTAGTTTAGACGTCCAAGCTCTGGAACTGTAACGGTGGTGCTGGAGTTTCTGTCTCAGTAACTATCATAAAATATTTGGACAAAAGCAACTAATAGGAGAAAGAGTTTGTTTTAGCTCTCAGTTTGAGGGACAGTTCATTCACTGTGGTGAGGATGTCAAGGCGGCGGGAGCTTGAAGCAACTGGTCACGTCCCATCCACGATCAGGAGAGAGAGGGACCAATGAAAGTATGGTTTCTAGTGCTCAGCTCATTTCCTCCATTTTACACAGCCAAGGCTCTCCTGCCTAGGGAGTGCTCCCACCACAGTTAAAATGAGTCTGCTCACAGCAATGCATGGTAACCATGATAACCCCCACAGGCACATCCGGGGCCCCTGCTCGCAGGAGCTTATCTATCAGGCTAACAACACAAACCGCCGGTTTATGACAATTTCTCACAGCATCAACAGCCAACTGATACAAGAGTTTTACAGATGCTGGGTTGAACTGCAGAGCACTGCAGCCCAGGAGGGCAGCTATCTGTGCTTTGCCAGTTTGTCTAATTAACTAGGCGAGGAGTTGCAGCTGTTTGTACAGAACTAGAAACTCATCACAAGGCAGATCCAAGAAAGTGTGTCCTAAACACCGACCGCTGTGACTGGTTTCCTTTACTGGGCCAGCCCCTCGGTGTGATTCATACCAGCTAAGGAACAGAAGACCGATAAATCAGTAAGTTGGCTTTTCTTCTGACTCAGTTTTCCTCTCCTGAAATACCTGGCTGAAGCCAAGTGCTCCGCTGTGGACAGAGTGCCTGCATCTCTGGACTGGATGTGCTGCAAGCAAATGTGCTCCATCACCTGTTCCCAAGTTGTGGCGAAGCTGACGTGTGGCGTCAGATCTTTCTTACACTCTAAATCACCAGCACAGCCGGTCAACTTTATAAACCATTCTGGAATTTATTTGAGAAAATCGCCGAGTTCTTGCAGCTGGAAGGGATTATTAAAGTGCTAAATGTTAAGACTATTACTGAAACATGGCCAGACACATGGAAATAAGTTTGGGGGAAAAAAATGAAGAGAAAAAGAAAACTGGAAAAATAAAAATGCTGATATAATCCTTCTGTTAATGCTGTTCTCCAGGCGACAGGCTGGAGGAAATTGGAGTTATCTCATTTATGAAGACAAGTGGTTTCTCTCCACACTGAGACAACTGGCCAACAGTTACCAAAAGGTGGTTCTCCAACACATTACACAAGGAAAGTCAGGAAACAAAGAAAAAAGGTAAGAGAGAGCTCGTGTCCACAGGCTTTTACAACATCACTGAGAAGGCATGGAGGTCAAAGTCAGTATACACAATAATTAGAGAGCAATTAACAGTCCCAACCTGCACTGAAGCGCGATGCTAAAAGGGATATTCACTTGCACACGATACACTGAAGAGAGCAGAAGGAATGGGCTCTATAGCGGTGAGGAAAGCTTCCCAAGGTTAGGGTCTAGGGTAAACCTTCAAAGGCAGACTGGATTTACAAAGAAGAGGGGAAGGAGAGTCAGTCTCCACTAGTTCAACAGAGAATCAGCTCAGGGACTTCTCTCCTGTCATAGAATCCTGAATTTTTAGTTGAGTCTGAAGACATAAAACTTACATAAGTCATGAGTCTTTGCTCAATCAAATTTATAGCCCACTCAAAAACACAAAGATGTGAGAGAAGATTAATTAGTATTTCTTTCTATTCCGCTGGGGCTCAACGTTGGAAAAGGAAATGGTCACTATTTCCCATAATTCTCTACTTCATGTGACATAAGACACGAATATACAAATGAAGGCAGCGGCAGCTTCTGAGAATATCACTAAATATTTAAATAATGGTATTTATCAGATACTGACATAAGCACAGTAGGAAACACAGATTTATCACCTAAATTTATTTGTCAGAAAACATGCATTTGCGAGTTATTTTGTCAGAACTAGCCTCAGTGAGCACTGATGGAAATTGCTCTCAGGGAAAAATAACAATAAATTAAGAACTTGGTAGATAGATAGATAGATAGATAGATAGATAGATAGATAGATAGATAGATAGATATGGGTTTTCCTGCCAAAAAGGTATCTAATTATTCATTGCTGTAAAAAGAAGTAAGAAAAAAAGTAATCTCTGAGCTTAAAATTTTAATGAGTAACTATTAAGTATCTGGTCATTTTGGATGAATAAAGAGAACCTATATACTTTTAGAAACTGGCAGATATTTCCTTGCATTCCTAGGTAAAATAATAAACTTTCTAGATTAGATACTTTTGAAAAATCCTTATAAATATCTATATAGTAGTTTGAAGAAGACAGTCAAAGGACTGAGACTCAAATGCAGTGGACTTTTCTTGTTGAAAGGAGCCGAATCAACCGGCTGTTCTTGGACCGTTAGTCACCAATAAAGCAGATTGCGGTTGTTGGAGGGACTGTATGGCTTTATTGAAGATGGAACTCATTCTCCACCAAGAGTGCTAAAGACATTCACGAAAAGGAGCCACCCTGCATGCCCCGCCCCCAGCACAAAACAACAGATGCCTTAGGACTCTTTTACAGAACAGAATTTGAGCACTTCAAAGCCCCTGGAGTAATTTGTTGGTACCAACATAGTCTTCCCTTTGGCCACTGCCTTTCTGCTACAGTAATTGTGGGCACTTGCCCTTTCTAATGAGTTATTTTGTGGCTAGCTGAGGATTTACACAGCTCTCTGTCCAAAAGGATCTGCCGACTTTCTCTTGGCAGACACACTGTAACATGCCGAAGGACAAGACAGTCCCAGAAGCCTGGCATTCTGCTTGTGAAAAGACTACGTCTGACACCGACTTAGGGCAAGCTGTGCCAAGAGATGACTGTACCTACTAGAAACTTCACAGGAAATAGCCAGTGGAGTTTTTCTCCACTCCTTCTAGAGACACCAACTGATAGCTGGAAAGATGGCTCAAGAGAACATGGTTACCACCAGGCCTTCCCAACAGTATCTACATTAACTCACCAATTATACTGCATAATTTAAGAATCAATAAAGTCACTGGCTTCCAAATTACTTCATGTTTGAAATTTTCATAAACAAGGCTGACCGGGGGGGGGGGGGGATATGAGGTGTGTTGCTTACTAAAGAGCCTGAGTGTCACACCAACCTCCGCTGCCTGCTTCTTACCCTTCCAGAGTTCACAGCTATCTAGGGAGAGTATTGAAAGTTGAAAGCTCAAAGCCCAAGTAAAACAAGTTGAGACTTAGAGGGGGCGTCTTGTTTTGTTTAGAATAAAAATCAACTTCCCCAAACTTGCTGATTACATTGGAAAATTGTGCAGTGTGCAGGAGGAAAAAAGAGCTTGCTGCAGGCAAAGTCTCTCTATTTAAATTCACAGAGAGCCAAATGCAGCAGCTGCAGGCCAGGCTGCCCAGAGGAGGTTATGAGGAGTCAGGTGTTGAACACAAATCAAACAACACAAAAAAGGCTCCTGGTGAGTAGGACATAACATGAGGAGGGAACAGAGGTAGCGGATGGACACTTGGTGGGGCCATGGTGATAGCAAAAAGATAGCTGAGCTGAGCATCAGGTTAGGTCACCAAACCTGACAAGTGCTCAGAAAGACAGCTATGAGTTACATCTTCCCGGTTACATCACTCACAAAGGGCTAGCGCTAACACTGGTGGCTTCACCTCTGTCATATTTACAGTCGCTTGTTCACAACTACCGTAATTTCCGAGTGTGGAAGAGATGGTGTCCGTGAACTTATAAGAATAACGCTCTATGTAATTATCTTATTTCCTGCTATAGTTTCTTGCTGGGAAAAGTGGGGTGCCTGAGCTGGCATGCGGCAGCACCATGCCCCGCCTCACCTGTACCTCTGGTAACTGTGAGATGCCGTGGAGGGAAACAGCAAGGCTGCAGAAAAAGCCTCCAGAACAGGTCCTCTCTCTAGCAGCTTTATCTGCAGACAGGATGGTAAAAACAGGTAAGCGTCATGAAGCCTTGTCCATGTGTCTCCTGCATTGTCTTCTCCAGCGACTGCTCCTGCCCTACAACGTGTCTGTCCTAGCCTCCAAGCCCCTGGGCAAGGCTGCACAACTAAACCCTCCCTGAAGGACCTATCTTGAAAATCCTCATCTGGTACACAGCAGTGAGTCTGGCAACACTGTGTTCTCTGCAGAGCTCAAATCCTTCACATAGGATTGCTCTCTAATGTGTAATTGTCTACAATGTTTCTCCAACAGGAAAACTGTCACTGGCGTCCCCAGCCACTGTCCCTTTGCAGCTGTAATAGGAAGTTGTAAATGTTCTTCCCAGACCCTTAAAAACCCTCTCACAATGTTGGGCTTAATCCACATATAAACTGGCAGGGGAGCTTATTTTGATCATCGTTCGGTACGCGAAGGAATACAATAAAGTCTTTTTTACACAAGCAACCTTATAAGGTTAGTCATGGTTCAGACGAAACTAAAGGATTTACCTTTCAGAATTTACATGCTTTCCAAGACTCTAAGGTCTTCCTAACAACAACACAAAGGATGACACATGAAATTAGCACCAATCTGGTGCTAATTATTCTGTACGATCTTTAACTTTCATACCTCAGCACCACTCCATTCATGGATATGGATGACGTCCATGAAAAACATCTTATACAATAACCAAGTCTCTCAGACAAGGAATAAATAAATCTTCAAGATGATACAAGGACTATTTTCACTCTTTTCACTCAAGACACTTTGAAAAGGCAAATCTCTTAATATAATTAAACCAAAAAATGGGGGCAACGGAAATAAAACACTGGATCCTGCCCCATTCTTCCATTAATTATGAACAGCAGACAAAACTAAACCTGTTTTGCGGTCGTTCTGACAGATGAAAGTCGCTCCATGTCGCCTGTGCTCTCTTGTATCTCACTAACCTATTCCCAGGAAGCAGTATGAGAGAGAAATCAATTTGTAATAATCGACCTTATTTCTTAGAGTGGTTTTATAGTCACAACAAAATTCAGCACAAAGGACAGATATTTCCCATATGTCCCCAGGGCTGCCCATGCAGGGTTCAATAATAAATGTAAGAATCCCATCAGTCAAGCACAGGGCATCCATGAGTGCCTTATGGAAAAAGCTACCGGAGTTACAGTCAAACTTAGGGAAATTTTACAACATAAAATAATAAAATAAACCTGTGTCAGATTAATGCCATAAATACCACGAAATGATAGTACCTAATATACTTGGTGAAAACTTGACAAAACTTCTCTCATTAGAAATCAAAGAAAAACAACCCACAATTGCATACTCTCTGGAGTTTGGGTGGCTCGTGCAATTTAAAAACACGGTATCTACTTGCACCTGTTCACCAGAAGAGCACAGAATAACTTATATCAAAGCTGCTCCCGTGTGACATTCCCATAATACCACTTCTCTGTACACGTTCTTACCTGAGAAGGAGTAAGCTTCACCCAGTCATGTATGGGCTTCTGAGAGCATGCCTGAGACAGGTGCAGAACCCAGGGCAGGCAGAGCTCTGAACAAGCTCCCTCCCGAACAGGAGGCGGGGGCAGGAGCCTTGGATGAACAAGCCCACACAGGCAGTCACGGCAACAGGGAACAAAAAAGTCCCACCCCTCGGTCACAGAGTGAGAGGCTGGGCAAACACTGCCCTTGGCCACAAGACAGAAAGACAGTGGCTGAGAGGGACTCTTTCAACTATTCTAAGCGGAACCAGCAAATAGAGCAAAAGCTTTTCACAGGCTGACTGCCGAGGAACACTGCCTGGGAAGGACTGAGCAGCCGAACCGGACCAGAAGTGCCTCTTGGAGAGAAACTGCTGTCCCTTACGAGAAGAAATTTGAAAACTACATCTGCATTCTTAGAAAGAAAAACGACCTAGCCATTCTGTGCTGAAGGCTACACAAAACTCTAGCCCTAAAGGGAAGAAGGCTGCAGTGTAAGAAACGGGGCAATGAGGTAACTCCTCCGCAAGCTGTTCGGAATCTCTCTCTGAACTGTCTGTCCCCTTCCGTCCCTTCCTACTTTACCTTGCGGGTGTAAGAAAAAACGTGAGACCTTTAAGCTCAAAGTTCCCAGTAGCGAAGCTATCAAGGAAATAAATGTGAGCTCAAGTCTAAAAGGAGCTCTCGAATTAACTTTCCTGCATGAATGTTCAAGTGTTGAGACTTTTGCCCTATAAGTAAATCTCATCAGGAGCACAATTCTATGTCAGATTAACAAGCTAATGCACGCACACATACAAGTCCCCGGATGTACCCATCTACAAGTGTCAATTTTATTTACAATAAAAATTTCAGTATTTCCCAGCTGTACCAAACAAGAAAAAAATGTGTAACAGTATTCCAGGTAAAATTTTAGGATAATCAACCTATACAAACATAAATGGATTCCTACATTGCAATATTTCTAGTGTGTGATAATTGCATATTACTGATGAATCCATTAGATGGGGAGCTGTATGCTTTAACTCCCTGACTCATTTAATCATGAGCCTCTTTATTTGAGAATACTCAGGGAGAACTGTATTTTACAACACCAATTCGGGAAAATGCTTACAACTCTAGATTTCGTTTGCTAACTTTCAGTTCACCATGCTCACACCATGATGAGTTTCCAACCACTGAGGAAAATCACTGAATTAGGTTCCTCATATGTCCCAACTGTCAATAATATCTGTAAAACAATAGTATGATCAATTTCCACATCTTTACTACTTCCAAGCCTGGGTGTTTTCCCCCAGAATGCAGGCAGATGAAAAGGAAGCACACTGCACAGATGCTGGACAACCCTGTCTGAGCAACCTGCCAAAGTACTTGACAAAATGCCTGACAAAGGAGCTCATGGGATTATTCCACTCACAGTTTGAGAGTACAGTCAGTCGTGGCAGGAAAGCCATGTGACAGTCGCTGGAGCTAGCTGGCCACACTGTATCCACAATCAGAAGAGCACAGCAATGAATGGCGATACCCACTTAGCTTCCTCCTTTTTATGCTTTCAAGACCCACGCCCAGAAAATGGTGCCACTCACTAGGTGCCCCTAGGTGATTCTAGATCCTGTCAAACTGATACTAAATAGTAACCAACAACTACCAACAGCTTTATAATGGCGAATTTGAAAGGTAACGCAGCATCCACCCACAAGAATTTTGAAAGTGTGCAGTTGCCATAGTGGGCGTGAGGTTGAATTATCATAGCCTGCTCTCCTCGAACCCTGACGGTGAAATTCCCATTCAAACACAGTACTACTTACATCCCTCTGCGCACCTTTCAACCACGCCCATACTGATGGACTCAAAACAAAGACACTGAGTCAAAGTACCTCCAAGAAGCCACTTGTCAAACCTGACTCCCGCCACAAGTACTTCATTTATCTCGGGTCTCACCGTCCTGCAGTCCTCTTACAAGCCCACGTGCCCACACAGCTACTGTTCTCATAGAAAGGGGACATGAGTTTGGGGCCAACCTCCAGAACATGGGTGCTGATGCAGTCAACTCTGTATCCCTCCTTCCCCCACCTAAGAACACAGTGCTCCGCCTGGGAGACTCTTCCCAATCACTCTCCCTTACCAACAGAAATCTCGGGGGCTGTGGGTGGAGTTCCACAGTAGGGAATGTGCTTAGCGGGCACAAGTCCTGGGTTCCAGCCCTAGCACTATTCCTTTTTTTCATTAAAATAATAATACAGGAGCTAGAAAAATGGCTCAGCAGTTAAGAGAACACATTGCTTGTAGAGAGGACCCAGGTTTAGTTCCAAGTACCTATATGTTGGTTCACAACCTCCTCTAACTCCAGTTACAGGGAATCTGATGGCTTCTTCTGACCTTCTAGGGCACTAGGCATACATACGACAAACACATACACTCGCAAAATACCCACACATCAAATTAAATAAATAAATATAAAAATTGAGTAAAAGATTGAAAACCTTTTTCTTCTTTTTTGGTTTTTTTCGAGACAGGGTTGCCTCTGTAGCTTTGGAGCCTGTCCTGAAACTAGCTCTTGCAGACTAGGCTGGCCTCGAACTCACAGAGATCCACCTGCCTCTGCCTCCTG